ATTATGTATGATCTTTGGAAATGAGTATGGGTTCAAGTTGACAAGGGGTGAAATTGTGATGGGTAATACTGAGTGTCAATTTGATTGGATTGAAGGATGCTAAGTATTATGCCTGGGTGTGTGTGAAGGTGTTGTTGAAAGAGATTAACACTTAAGTCAGTGGGCTGCAAAAGGCAGACTTATCCTTAATCTGGGTGGGCACCATTAAATCAGCTGCCAGCATGGCTAGAATGTAAAGCAGGAAGAAAACCATGAAAAGACTAGACTGGCCTAGCCTTCCAGCCTACGACTTTCTCCCATGCTGGATGCTTCCTGCCCTGGAATATTGGACTCCATGTTCTTCAGTTTTGGGACTCAGACTGGCTCTCCCTGCTCATCAGCTTGCTGATGGCCTATTGTCGGACCTTGTGTTCATGTGAGTTAATACTTAATGAACTGTGATACATATACTAGTTCTCCTATTAGTTCTGTCCCTCTAGAGAACCCTGACTAATACATGTTTTGTTTATTAGTGGTGCTTAAAATAGAAGAGGGATTTTTAAATATATGTATATAAATTCTTGTTTTGTATGTATACATATACATATATATGCATACATGTATCTATATTACTAGATGTATAACATATATAATTATGTTCTACATATCACTTTAAAATCTAAGTTATCCCATTTATATATGTTCTACATGTATAAATGTTCAACATATGTTCTACATATATATACATATATATGACTAGAAGTTGTAGAACATATATAAATGTTAGATTTTAAAATGATAATTATCTTAATAGAAATATTTTGTTATATAAAATTATAGATGAGGATAACATTCTATGTAAAATATAGCAATGGTAAAAAGATAAAAATTTCTCTTTTTGCTTTGGAATATTCTAGGACTTGTAAAAGTAGTGATACAAATATGGACTTGTTAATTATTTGACAAATAATTAAATATAGACTTAATTATTTTGGATAATAATTGTACCTATATTATAGATTTTACATTGTCATTTTAACATGATAATTAGAAAATCATAAACTTGGGATGTTATACAAGTAGATTTGGGGGGATTATGATAAAGATAAATACAGTTTAGATAAATTATACTTCCTATTGTAAACCAAAAATAAATTTTAAGGCCCCCAACCAACTAAATTGATGCCTCCAAGGGCATTCTAAAGTAATCCTGAAATACCAGGTCAGACTATAATGAGAACGAATAGTCAGACATGCCTTATTATACCTTCCTCTCATTGGAATTCAGGCACAGCTGACCAGCATAATATTAAAACAGAGACATTAAGACTGACAAAAGAGTCTTTATGGCAATAAGATACCAACTAACAAATAAAAGTCCCTAAAATAAATCAATGTATTTTACCCCAAAACATATTTCTTTGATGTACTTTTAAATGGCCCTACAAGCTGTCTCTTGTGATGAAAATCAATATTTCTATAGAAAATCCTCTTCCCTGTCTGGGTCTTTTTCCTGGTCCAGGAGAGACATAACTATAAGTCTGAAAAGTTTTTACTTATTATAGGAAACATGCACCCTCTATTCCATCTAAAGCCCACTACCTGGAGGCTTCATCTTCATCCTAAGAACTGTGCTCTCTACTATCCCTATCTTAACCCATACTTGTGCCTTCTCCCTTGATTCAAAGTCTTTAAATAAATTATTTCAACTGTTTGCCAGGCAAAAAAATCTTTAACTCTATCTATAACCTGGCAGCTCATTTGCCCCCCTTCGAGTTATCTCACCTTTCTGGACTAAATGGTTATACTTCCTGCTTATGTTGAGTGACGTCTTGTATGTCTCTAAAATTTGTAAAATCAAGCTGTAGCCCAATCACCTTGGACACATGTTCTTAGAATCTCCTGGGGCTGGGTTATGAGCCATTTGTCACTCATACTCAGCTCAAAATAATTCTTTTCAACTATTTTACAGAATTTGACTCTTTTCATTGACATGTACAACATCAGAGGGCATTATTTTCATTGCATTCTATGTCAATGCTTTCCCAGGACACAATCCTAGAATACAAAGTGAATGGTGCCCTTGGGACTAGTGCCATCCTGCAGTCCAGGAGGAAAGAGACTGGATAAATCTGTTTTTATACTGATATGCCAATGAACCTAATTCTTAAGAAGAAAAAAAAAGTCGTTTTCCAAATAATTTATCACATTTGGGTGGCCCTCTTCAAGACTTAAGAATTAGGAACCAACATGTACTAAGAATAGTACAGAAGGGAAATAGCAAGGAAGTATCAAGTATAATGTTTTACAAAGAAGGTTAAGATTACTGCCCAGAAAACAGTCTCCTAAATAATAATAATAATAAAAGACATGCTTATAAGGCTATAAATTTATATAGGTCAATAGCTAATAAAAAGAAATGTCAGAGTAAAACCATTTACTGTCATCAGAAGTAAACTTCAGAAAAATATAATCAAATATTTGGAAAAATAGCCTTATTTTTCCTCTTTTGAAACTCCAGCTAAATAAATGTTCATGTAATTTTATCAGAAAAGGCAATATTATATCTATAATTAATTAGATCCACATAGTTTAATTACATTATACTTGCAGTAGTAATCAAGAACAATATGTATTTGTTCAATTCATTTTGTTTAATGGAAATAGAAATAGGGTAATCATCCCTGATTCTACATCTTTGTCCAAAGCAACCTGGGGTCATATTTAAAGTCTATATTACTATGGAAACAATCATCATTTTATTTTTTATTAAACCTAAAGAATATGTTTTTTTCTTCTTTTTTCCAGTGTAAGCCAATATTTTTTCTTATTTTTATGATTTTCTTTTTTCTTTTCTTTTTTTCTTTTGCAGTATTCTAATTGTTCTAAGAGTATTCCAAGTGAACACAGGCTAAGTCTAAATTACATCAGAAAAGCACTTGATTGCCTTTAATAAAGGACAAATACCACTACAATCAAATAATTTAGATATCATTTGAATAATACAATTGTTTAGTTTTCAGAATATTTAACTCTAATTGTTGGAAGGTGACCAAGAGCTTTTATAATTATTATTCAACTCTAATATCAGTATTTACAATGAATTTGTTCATCAGTAGTGATGATGGACAGCTCCAGTGTTTCATGCTATTATTTAGAAGACTGTTAATTGTGATTGCTGATAATCAAATATGAATGATAATGCTAATCAGCATCTTTCAGAAAGACATGCTGCACTTTGAGTAGATAAATACAGAATCCCAAATTGATGATAACCCATCCTGCTCCAAGGCTTTTGTAAGCAATTCTATAAATTACAAATTTTGGGTTAGATAATTTCCATTTTTGCTCTGCCTTATTTATGTTAAATTATTTTTCTTTAAATAGATCATCATAATAGCATTGAGAATATTTATATAAATGTTAACGAATAATTCTTGAATATTTAAAACAACTTAGAGTTATTAATGATCTTAAACTTTATAAGACTTTGAGAATAATTATTACTGTTGTTACCATTTTATAGAGGAAGAAACAGACACAGAGATGTTAAATAACTTACTCTTAACCCTATTTACCTCTTAGACTGGAAAACAGCTTCAATATTACAAATAAGTTAATAATAATTCGAAATTATTAATGCTTTTAGAAATTAATTGGGGAATAAATAATGTCGGTTTCTTCTTAGTTTTTATAGTCTAATTCATTATGCTTATCTGGGCAGCCAAAAGCTAAGATCTCTACGCACACAAAGAAAACCAGTAAAGTCATTTTTAAAATGGCATTAAACCAGGAGGCAATTTATTTTAGATTCTGAAATATTGTAGCACTGTTTGATAATAACATTAGGAATAAAGGGTTAAAATGACGGGCTGAAAGTCTGCCAATCGAGTTGTTTGGCAATTAGTTCAATTATATCCTCTTACTCTTATAGATAAATATTAATCACAATTAAGCCAAGTGGAGAGGACAGAACTTCACCATGGGTGGTGCCAAGCTAATATAGCCACAACCCTTTTCAATTCCACATCAGGGATTCTCAAATTCTTATGTTATAAAATATTTTTAGAAAAATATGAATGCATACATAAAATCACACATTTATAAAATATTACAAAGGCCTCACATGTTTTATGAAGACCATATGCTTTTGAATCTCAAGAGTTCCTTTCCTTAACTTTTGAATGAAATATTTTATTTTTATTTGTCTCTTTAATAATTGAAGGCTTTTATTTTGTGTTTTGCTGTTATTCTTTTCAATTCAATTTATTAATAAAATATGCTATACCTGTCACTATTAATTAATGGCATACTAAATTAAAATGAAAAGAGGATAATGACCTATATTGAGTTGATCAGAGACTTGTGGGAAAGAGAAGTAAAAAGTTTCCATAGCTGACTCTGTTCATGACTAACCTAGCTCTCCTAGAATCCATTCACCGGTTATGTGAGTTCTACCTCCAGCAGAGTTGGGTATTGCTACTAAGAGCATAAACCTTTTTAGAAGAACTGCTATTAAATGAATCAAACCACATACCAAGAGCCACCTGTAACTTAACTTCTTCTGTCTTCTTTCTGCTAGGTGGTCAATAGCAAATAGGCAACAAGCTTACAAAATGAAAACTCAGCTCTCTTGGAGGGAATAATAAATCAGAATAAACTCTGCAGTTAGGTCTATGATCCAGAACTCTTATGGGTGAAGGCTGAGTCTAGACCTTAACTGAACTCACATTCTTGCTTATTTCTTACCCATTAGCACTATGTTATCCTCACTCCCAAAGAGATTTCTCTCTGGCATGCATATTCTTAATAAATCTTTGATTCAATCCAAGAAACCTAACTTACTACGGTTCCAATGCTATGAAATAAATACTATTAATATTACCACTACTATTACGTAACTAAAGTGACTATTTCTTATGTGTCAGGCATTTTTCTAAGCATTTTGGATAATTAAAGTTCTTTACATTCAAAACATTTATTCCAATAATAATAATTTAATTATAATAATTATTACTTACTGAGCTTCTATGTGATTGGCTTAGTTAATCTGCATTTCAACTGAATCTGGAAGTTACTGTTTTCTCTAAGTCATAGATTAAGAATTCAAAGCAAAATGAATATAAGTAACTGCTCAAGTTATTCAATAGATAGGATTCAATAAATTAATGAATCAGCCATCTATGACTGGAAAGTTTAAGTGCCCAGTGGGTTCACCTTGCCCGCTGCTTAGGCAGAGATGATTTATCAAGACAAAGGCCTCGCAATAAAGAAAGAATAATTCAAACAGAGCAGGCTGTGTGGGAGATCAGAGTTTCATTACTACTCAGATTGGTCTCCCAGAGCATTCAGTTTTTAAGAAGAACTTGGTGGGTGAGGGGAAGCCAATGATCCAAGGGTGCTGATTGGTCAGGTAGGAAATGACATCATAGTGAATTGAAGCAGTCCTCTTGTGCTGAGTCAGTTTCTGAGTGATGGGGGGTTACAAAATGAGATGGGCCAGTTTATCAATTTGGGTGGTGCCAGCTAATTCATCAAGTGCAGTGTCTGCAAAATATCTCAAGCACTGATCTTAACAGCGTTTTAGGGAGGGTCAGAATCTTCTAGCCTCCAGCTGAATGAATCCTAAACTATAATCTCTAACCTCGTGGTTAATTTGTTAGTCCTACAAAGGTAGTCTAGTTTCCATGAAAAAAAGAGGTTTGCTTTGGGAAAGGGCTGCTAGTGTCTTTGTTTAACATTACAAACGCACTTCTTCCCAAAGTTAGTTCAGTCTATGCCTGGGAATGAACAAAGATAGCTTGGAGGTTAGCAGCAAGATGGAGTCAGCTAGGTTAGATCGCTTTCACTGTCTCAGTCACAATTTTGCAAAGATGGTTTCAAAATTTGCTCAGGAAAATCAAAGGCAAAGTAAAAAGTTAGGCACGTTTTTTTGTTTGTTTTCTTTCTATAAGTAACATAGAAAAGGAAAGATTATAGTAAAGGCACATCTATGGAAACTCTATGAAGTTAAATTATACACTAAGATTGTCTTATGAATTATTTCTTTGTAATGAAATTTATTTTTTAAATGGGTTTCTAGAAATGTTACTATAACAAACAAAATGAATTTGTATTTAATAATTTCAGTTACTTAACAAATATGTTGTTTAAGGAAAAATCTATTCATTATATCTTATTAAGAAAAGCAAATAGGTTGTAACAGCCAACCAACTGACTAGCATGAAGTAGGTTCTGCAGAAACACTGGTCAAGCAAATTTGATTTTTGGGGAGAAAACCTAGAAAGAAGAAAATCAACATGATGAAGGCCTCCTGAAAAGAACTATGTTTTCAGTAGAAACAATCTATAGATGCAAGGATTTAGTTTGAGTATATATAAATGTATTGGGACAATTTATAAAAAGAAAACAGAGAAAAATAGTACAAAATAGTAAATTCATTTAAGTGCACTTAAGAAAAATAATAATTTCTTATATTCAAACCAAAAAATTAGTGATAATACAGACTCAATTAAAAACTATAATGTATTTTATTTAAGTGATAAAAAATTCTGCTTAATGACAGAGCAGGAGCATCACCATCTTAGACAAGCCCCTCATTCTAAAGTTCACCCTAGTAAAAAACCGCCTAAATGCAAAGGGCATCAGCCTAATGACTAAGGTCAGAATGACCATAAACCACAAATAACATCTCCAACTGGAAACATTCCAAACTGCTCCCCTACCAGAGACATGCTAGCCCTGAGATAACCCACTTTGGCATCGGAAGATGTCTGCCCCAAGATAGACTCCCCTCCTTCCAGAGACATTCCAAGTCTGCCATAAAACTTCCCCCTCAAACAGGAACATTCCAAGCTTCTTATAAACCCCCTCACCCTAAAACCAATATATACTCAGTCTCTAAGAGAAAGCACTCCTGACAGACATCGGCCAGAGCGCCTCTCAGGTTTTAACTAAACAAAACCTGTCTTTAACTGCCAGCCATGTTTTGTGTTTCTTTGGTCTTTCATGAACTCTTACACTTAATATATTAACTATTGAAAGGCATACATACATATATAATTAGAATACTTATATATTTAACATTAGTGTTCAATTCCACCTTTGTATAAACAAATAAAGTTCAGGCATACCTACTTGAATATATTTTATTCTAAAGGTTTAGGTGTATATGGGTTTTTAATTGGTGGTGGTTGTTTTGTATAGTGTCACTCCAGTGCTGTAGTGAATATTCAACATGGTATTATTCTCAATATTCTATGCAATAATTACACTTAATCATATGTTTATGTTTGGCCTAAAATTTAGGTAATGGAAGTCAATGAAGTGTACATTGAGAAAAATAAAGAATTTAGAGTGATTTGAAAGTATAGAAAAATTTTTGATTAATTTCCCTTCAGAAAAATAAGCAGAACAAGTGGAAAACTTGAAATTCAATAAAGTTTTATGACCATCAACCTCTTTAAGCCAAAATTATCCATTGGTACCATTTTAAATGCAGAACAGGCAACCAATTTTTTAGCACAATGAAAAGACCAATTTCTGCCATCGGATAAGAAGGGCTCTGCAGACAGGGAATATACAAAAGTTCTCTCACTACTACCTTCAATCAAAAAGAAAGCGGAAAAAAAGAGGAAAAAAATTGTTAAGAAACCTATCATAAGAATACCTAAAAAGATCCAGAAATAGGGGAGGCAGGAGCTCTTGAAGGGTAGTAATAGTTTTGTATTTAAGATGAGAGTACAGTCTTTTCATTCCATTTTTATGGTAGATGAAGGCAGTCAAAAATGAAAGGAGTGACTCAGCTCTGTAGGAGACGAAGGGAATATCTTTAGAGCATTGACTTGATATTCTCTGGGAAGGCGCAAAGCAGTGAAAATATGTCAGTAGAGGAAGCAAAATAGCTGCTGATGGAATATTATTGAAATAAAAGTAACAAATGAGTTTGAGATGTATATACAGTTAATTCAAATGAGCAAGGATAAAGTTAAAGGATGAAATATTTACATATTAGTATTAAGTCAAATGCTGAAAAAGGAAACATACTAAGCAAGAAGTTTTTATGTTCTTAAAACCATATGTTACAAGGAGACAAAATATGAAGTACATTATTTGCTTGAAATTGCCTTGACCATTTTGATTTCTATCATTTTATGAGTCATTTCAATACTGAAGCTCAGAAACTACATATTCACTGAATCAGCATTTTATACTGATTTTGTGTCATTTGAAGGTGCATTTTGGCTATCAAACAGTTTTCCAAATTGTAGTAAAGTATCTGTATTCAGAAATGTAATAATACTCATGGTTTTTCTTTCTTCTTTTTCAATAAATATTCAATAATTTTTTTCTTATTACTCATTTCTGTAAACTACTTAATATATGCCCTGTGCAACAAAAAAGGAAATTCTACATTTTCTCACTACAATCATTACTTGTAATATGCTTTCTTCAGTTGGATTTGTTCTTCATCTTATGTGCTAAACAAAATAAGTCTATTAAACATGATAGGATGTACACTTTTCCAACTTACTGTCTATGAAATGTATCTCATTGAAAAACTACTGTATAAGTTATTCAGGAATTGACATTTTAATATTTGAACAACTTTCTGAGACAGTAGATACATCAAATTATTCTTATGCAGGTGTTTTAATCATGTTATTATAAAAAAAGTCAATTACTGTATCTTTTTGTGTTTAGAATCATGTATTAATTAGAACTTGAGAAAACTGTCTCGGGATAGTATATTTCTGAGAGTATGTCATCTTTGCATCATCAGTAGGGTGTTTTAAGACATCAGCCTTTCCCTACAGTAAAGGTAACCCTCTGTCCCCATGATAAGGCAGAGAGTCTAACTGAACTGACTGACACAGCCATCTGCAGATAGTAAAGCTAAAAGATAACACTGTAACACATGCCTACTTGGGCTTTGGGAGTCACAGACACCTGCCCTTAGATGTTGCTGTGGGGCCACAGTCCCAAAGTACTCCCCATGGCCTCTGTATCTGCCTGTCTGCCTGCTCCCACTAGGAATTTGAGTAGCTGGGCAGCTGAGTGAGCCAAACCCTGTGGTTTCATCCTGAGTGGAGGATAAGGGAACTCTCCTGTTTCAGTAGTATGCTCCTTAGACCAGTACTGTAGGAAAATATATTTGCTAATGTCTGTAGTAAGAAGAAAATATCACTTGAAAAGTAAAAGTTTAGAAATTATTGATTCTATGTTTATTTCTCTACAATAATTTATTTTAATTCACTAAGTAACTCACATTTATAATGCTAAGTAAGTTTCATATAAGGAATGGCCTATTTTGTACATAGTAGAATTTATGTTTTATTACCATTGCAATTACTATTTAATTTTATAAAAAAGCGTTTGACCAGAAATTTAGTTGCAATTAGCTACATTTTAAGACATCAAACTTTAGAGGACACTAAGATAATACAATAGTTTTTAACACCTACATACATAGTCCAATATTTGTAACCGTACTTTCTATAAAACACAATAACTGATAACATTGTAGACAGTACTCTTTTAGAAGCAATTAATACAGTAAATATTCTATGTTAAAAAGTTTATGTAAGTTTAAATAAAATAAAGATCCATTTGACTTTACGTTAACCCTTCATTTTTCTAAACTTGAGTAATCGAAAAGGACACATGTAGATACATGTTGTTAAGTTTTCATTGATTTACCATGGTCTCCGTAGGGATAGCTGTCTGTCTTACATATTTGTGCCTGATTCAGGTTTGAAATATTTTATGCTAAGGAAAGCAGGTAGTAATATCTTCCAAACCTTTTTAAGGGTATGTTTTGTGTGGTTATTTTTAATCTGTCTAAGTTTTTAAACTATAAGCTGTCAAATACTTAGAGTATCTAATAGATTGGGTCTAATCTGTTTCTTTTTTGACGGGAATAGAAATGTCTTGTTCAGGCTGATAAATGGCAGCCTTTAATAAATTAATTGCTTCAAAAGTCCTAGCTAAATTATTTTGCAAGAAAATTCAGTTCTGCTAATAGCTGTCGTAAATGCACCATGACCTCTAGTTTTCATCTGATAAATTATGTCCCGTCCAAACTTAGTGTCAGCAGTTATTTATTGTCCTGATTACAGACTGTCTGTTATGCAACTGAATTAATTTTGATCAGAGACATTTTCCATTTGTGTATCCATACAACTGAGTGCTCTATAAAAGTTGTATTTTTCTTTAAAGAAGCATGCTATGGAGACGTTATGAGATGTGTATTTGAACCAAACCTAGTTGTGCCACTAATAAAAATTAGATAATAGAAATAAAAATTAGATAATAAAATAGTAATAAAAATTAGATAATAGAAATAATAAAAACAAATTATTAAACACCTTGATTATTAAAA